ATCTTACATCTAATGTTGTTAAATTAATGTTTATTACATTATTTCAGTATCATGTGTGTCACCATGATGGGGTTTAGTGTTTGTGTGAATGACACTGTGCACCTTCTATATATAAGAACTACCCTCCTCAGCTCGAAGAAAACCTGTTTGTGATAAGCTTTGGTTCATCATGTGACTTTCTCATCACCACCAGTTTTTGATGGTTATTACCATTATATTTGATGGTGCATTACAATGGTTCAAAACAGATATTAGTACTTCAATATGTTGGTTTATTAACATTACATCAGTTAATGAAATACAGTATTTTATTGTGAATTTAGTCTGTAAAACCTAAAATGTTGCTACCCTATTTTTTACGGTGAAGTTCTGGCAACCACAGCTGCCAGTATTTTACCGTAAATGTCACAGATTTTTTTTTTTACAGTGTAGGGTGAGTATAAAGGTAAGTACATGATAAAAGTTCTTACTTTTGGGTGAACTATTCCTTTAAATTACACATCACAAGCTCAATGATGACATTTGCATGCTTCATTTTCTGATTAAGGTCCATATTCTGGTTAAGCTTGTATTATGTAAAAGGTCAATCATGTGCTAATTTATTTTTTCAAGGAATATTCCTATAGCTGTATTATAGTTATTTTGAACAGTAATTTAATCAATCAGTGAATACATTTAATATTTCTATATCAAATAAACGCCTTTATCTGAGCTTTATATTCATAAAAAAAAAATACTGAAAAAAAAAAACGTTTCACAATTTCACACAAATGTTAAGCAGATTTTATTTTTTTCAATATTGTTAATAAGAAGAAATGCTTCTTGAGCACCTAATCAGCATATTATAATTAAATTCTGAAGGATCACGTGACATTGTGGCTGCTGAAAATTTAGGTTTGCCATCATAGACAAACATTTAAAATATATTAAATTAGAAACTTTTGACTTGCATCAATAATTTTTTATAATGTTTGTGAAAACATTTACTTTTCACAGCTGTCTGTATCTAAAATCACCTAGAACTGCATTCATTTGAACATGCACATTTATAAATGTTTCAGTTCTGATTAAATCTGGATTATTTTGATTTCTAGAAAACACCAAAAGTCCTGCCTTATCTGTTTATGCTAATTAGGTTCATGTGTTTACATGAAGTTTGCATAATCCAAATATGACCATACAGTGATAAATATCAGAATATTTATGTGCATGTTAATGAAGTCTTTCACACTCTCTCTGCCTTCTGAATCTCAATCTCACACACACACACACACACACACACACACACACATCCATGAAACAGAACAAAAGCTTCCGGCCACAGAACACTCCACAGTGTTTTCTGTCTCACAGCGCTGTGCACAGTATCACTTCCATTAGTTGAGACTCGCAGGCCTGAACAGAGCGGCACAGCCTGTAGCCCTGATGAGAGCAGGCCGATCGAACTGAAAATATTGCATGTGCAATCATGAAAATGGCTTTATGGCAAGCAGAGAGCGAAAGACAGACACCTGCCAACACGCCAATCCAGAAACAGACATTGCATAAGGCTCCATCTAGAGAAGTGATGAATTCTCATACATCTAACTGATGATGGTGTGCGACTATGAGAGTGGGTCACAGGGGATTACCGAGAGATGGGAGCCTGGCTTCTAGGGATTGAGGGAGCGAGAACTGCATTGTCAAGAAGAGCAAGGTGTCGGTAATCGACAGCCTCCTGCACACGCACACAAATGTCTGCGTGAGCACACGTGCACATCCATACATCTCTCTAGATGCCCCTTTTCCCATAAGCTGATGATGGGAAATACAATCTTCACAGAGAAATGCAATCTAATCTGCCTTATCTTCTCATACTCATACACACACAGCCACCTTCCACCCGTAAGAGCAATATTGTTTCTGTCTATTCATGTGTCCTGTCTGCAGATCATAATGACCAGATCTTCACTGCTTTGATTCAGTGCTGGACCAGCTTTTCATACGTGCAGGGTCATTTCCTCCTGACATATGCTGTTTCTTTCATGCACGGTCACATAATGCTCTTACACATTCTCTATCTAGTGATTTTAATGGTCAAACACGGACAAAACACACACACACACACATTCATTCCATTTACATTTGCTATCAAAGCAAGGTAATTGGGGTTTGCTGAAACTCAGACACTGTGTTGGATAATAACTGTGTGTGTTAAAACGCAGTATTCAAGAAACAGTTCAACCAAAAATTTAAATGTTCCTATTAGTTAAACTCACTCTCATTTCGTGCTGAACTCATATGATGTTGTAATCTGTGGAATCCCAAAGGAGCCATTTTGAATAATGTTCTGGTCCCTCTTTCCATGCAATGAATAATAAGTGGACAATTTCAGCCTGTTCCTCACACAATCATACCTTCAGAACAATGTAGTGTTTACATACTATGTTGCCAATAATTCATATGGACCACTTTTATGGTGCTTTTGTGTCAATTTTTGAGCTTTAAAGCTCTGATCCTTGTTTACTGTAATTACATGGAAAAAGCAAGAAACACATTCTCCACAATTTCTGCTTTTGTATTAAACAGAAGAAAGGATGTCATACGGGTTTAGGAAAACATGAGGATAAAATAAGTAAATAAATGATGACCGAATTAAATT